AAGAGCCCCCCTGCCGTATGCATCACCGCCCTCGGGACCCATGGCTCGCGATCCTTAAGGCCGCCCCCCTCGATGACCGTGCGGAGCTGCACGCTCACTGCCATCTGCAGCTGCAGTGCGTGCGCAGATGCAGCGTGCACTCGCTTTGACACAGCCAAACGCCTGCGGGCCGATGCAATGGACAATTGCAGACGAGTCCGATGCGTGTTGACGCAATGATGCAACGATTGCAGAGGAACGATACCGACGATGCTTTCATACATTTCACAAACACCCCCCACGACACATGGTATGTGTAACCGATGCTGCCAACACGCGAGCCTCATCGCTTCCTGGCCTTCTTAGCCGCGGGCGCAGCAGGCACATCGTCTACCTTGCGCTTGGGCATGAGCGATGCCAGCTGGGCGCTAAGGACATCGCCCTTGTTGATGGCGCACTTGTTTGTCAAAATTGGTACATGCACTGATGGGGCAGCTGTAGACTTGACGGTCTTGAGCTTCATGTTGGGGGTGCCGTGCTCACCTGAATCCTGTACGAGCCAGAAGGGGATGACGGGCGAAGACGGTGCCTGCTTCAGCCCTCCAACGCCAGTGTTCGTCTCAGCCTTAGGCATCTTGATGCCACCACTGGGGGCCAACACGATATTGAACGTCAATCCCTTGGGGTCCTTGTATGTCTTCATGAACACATGCCCACACTGAACTATATCAGTATGCTTCTTCAAGTAGATTGCCGAAGAGAGTGGGACAAGCACCAGCTCTTCAGCCTCAAACGAACGCGTTACGGTGAGAGCACGAAGCTTAACATGCGTAATCACGCCACTCAAGTACTTGAGACAGTTGCCGTTCTGGCTGTATACATCATCCAAGGCCAGCCTGATTTTGGCCTCCTCGATACCCCACTGGTAATCGACAGACTTGAGGGGGCCATGATCAGCGAACTTGTCGATCGTTTCCTCTATGGGGGAGCAGCGGGAAAAAAAGATGAGACATGACGACGCAGAGCCGAATGAGATGAGGGAACGACGAACGAGAATTCAAAGGTGTGGGGGTGTATATGCATTCCACATGCATTGCGACGAGGTCGCAAGACTGTCCTTCATAATCGTGGACACGACGAACTTGCCACGTAAGAAGTCGTCGGTGGGGTGGCATGTCGCACTGCCCGTGGCCTGAAGCTTCAACTTCACGCCAGTCGCAGCGTCGATGGAGATCAGCTCGTAAATGTTCTCACCCAAGGTGTCGCTCGCCAAGGCGACTTTGGCGCCAACCTCAAACCCCTTGTCACTGAGCTTGTCCACTTGGTTCGACCACTTGCCGGAAGCGGTGTACTCTTTCACATCTGGGCTACGCGCCTGCCCTGTCACGGCTTTGGATGCGCCCTCGCGACCGATCTGCTTCCATGGGCTAGCAACTGCTTTGCCAACGTGCGTTGCCAACGCAGTGGTGAAGCTGACCCCGATGTCATTCAGCGTCTTGCAAGTGCCTAAGCGCTCATCGGGCTTGTTGAACACGAAATGGACTACGCGAACGTCAGTCAATCCCACGATGGTGCCGTAGGCGACCGTGTCTGCCGTGATGCCCTCACCGCATGCGATCTGTCGCACTTTCTGAAGAAATTCATCGGCCACCATTACAATCGTAGACTTCTTATCGCTCGACAAGGCGGTCACGTCGCCTGGCTTCAAAAGCATCTGATGGCCATCCCTCGCGAACTTACCCGTCGCACATGTCATCGCCTTCATGCATGCGAGCTTGAATGTCGCAGCGGCCCCCTCATGCTTGATCTGCACCTCGGCGAGAGACTTCGCCATTGAACCCGTGACCACGCACTGGGAGGTCAGCTGCCGCGAGAAGTCGCGAAGCTCGTTCAGAAAGATCGGGTTGCCGAGGCCGCCAGACAACTCCTTCACATATTTTACTAAGCCATCGATCTCCCCAGGAAAGAGAGAGCCTGCGCGAGTCGCCTCGCGGATCACACTATCCCAATCGATCATGGTGCCACCCGTGTGGTGTCGGTTGGCAATTGCTGCGATCTTGTACATGAGACTCATGCGAGATTCGCATCTGGCAATTTGTTGGCCTGCATTGCCAGCCTCCTGAGCAAGATTACTAATCCACGGGAACTCCTTCACGAACTCGTACCGAAAGACCTTCCACTCAATTCCTTCGTCACACGCCTTAGCGTAGTCTGGTTGAACCTCCCGTAACCTCGTCAGTGACAATTTCCCTTGGTGCGAGATTCTGTCGAAACGCTCTGGCATGACCGTGGGTACTGGAACCCCTGCGTTGATGCAACGCAAACCCATGGATGTGTGGCCGCACGTATAGGATGCGAACTTTGCATCGCAATCATACTGCGGCAGCTGGCCCGCTGAGTCCTCCATTATTTTGAAATTGAAGTTCTTGATTGTATTGTACTCAGGCGTGCCCACTGGTGGAAGTTCCATGCAAGCTGGATTCTGGAGGGCTGAGTTCTTGAATCCATTTTTGAAGATCTTGGAAATCAAATCCATAACCTCGCTCGGAATGATTCCATCTCCGTAACGATTCTCTGTGCACACCATCATATACTTCGAGTGTATTTTTTCTACCCTCAGGCAGTCTATGCCTCTTGCAATGCTGCATACGTCTTCAAGTAATGAGACCACCGCTGCATCAGGATGCAAGTACATGTCCTTGATGGCCATCATCTTGGGGCGGACCTCCGCGATCTGCTGTTCACGGGAGGCGTTCATCACGCCGCGTGCAGGAGGACGCCACAAGCGCCAGCAGCAATCCTCGCCCAAACGGCTGGAGCCCAAACTCTAGTGACATTCAAAAACATGTGCAACAGAGGGTTGCGAATTCGAAATGATATGTTGCATTTGCAATGCACAACATTCTTGTAACGCTCGATACAATATTCTGAATGCGTTCGCACGCAAGTCTGGATCATGATTTCCGATATGCGTGATCCCGAAAATCCAAACACATGCATGCGTTTCTGGAGGCAACATCCAAGGAAAACCCGATGCAGCAGCTCTGTTTTCACGTAAGCATGTAAAAGTTAGCGAAGTTAGCAACTTCGCTAACTCAAGC